AGGAATGTTTTAAACAAGACACATGAAGAAATTCTTCTACTTCTCTGTGCTGATTAGGCCTTAACTGGGGTATTATGAAGAAAGTCTAGAGGAGAACAACAAAAATTATTAAAGAAAACATGACTGAAGGAAGATGAAAAAATTGGGCTTGTTTAATCTGGAAAAGAGAAGACTAGTGGTGGGGGGTCATGATAACAATTTCAAAGTACGTAGAAGGTTGCTACAAAGAAGAGGGTAAAAAATTGTTCTTTTTAACCCCTGAAGATAAGACAAGAAGCAGTAGTCTTAAATTCCAGAAAGGAAAGTTTAGATTGGGCATTAGGAAAAACTTCATAGCAGTTAGGGTATTTAAGTACTGGAAAAAAAATTTCAAGGGAGGTTGTGGAATCTTCGGAATTGGAAGATTTTAAGAACAGATTAGACAAACACCTGGTCTAGTTATGATGTTATCCTACCTTGAGTGCAGAGGATTTGATTGGATAACCTATTAAAGTCTCTTCCAGTCTTGTACTTCTATGATTTAGCATCCTTTATTTTCTGTCCAGTAAGTTTCATAATATTATAACTAGGGTTCCTAGAACCACCATAAACAATCTAATTGGCTGGAAAGGTGCTGTTAATATAGTCTAGATTAAATTACGTGTAATTTATTATGTATCTCTGTTAATTTCTTTTCTTAACCCAAAGGTCCTCAGTCTCCTCCAACTCCTTTAACACCTGGCCAAGAAAAAAATGGCACAAAGTATAACTGGGACCCATCGGTGTATGACAGTGAACTCCCTGTGCGATGCCGGAATATCAGTGGAATCCTATATAAAAACAGGCTTGGCTCAGGTAAAAAGGCTGTTTTTGCCTCCCACGAGGGATGGAGGGCATCTCCTACATCTTCATCTGGTGCATATTTGTTCTCATTGTGCTGCTCTTAAAAACCTGTTATGAAAGGAAGGAAGAATTTCAAAACCAGTCTTCTCCCTTTGGACATTGCTCTTCTTGGGTGCGTTGGCCTCTTGCCACCCCACTCTGTTTCTTCAGAGAGTAGGAAGCCTGACTCCCAGGATACATCTACACTACTAGTTTTCTTGGCAAATAAATATGCTAATGAGTACATTTGCATGAGTCAATCTCATTTGCATATTTTCTGTGGATCTGTTTTTGTGCTAGGGGTTTTTGCGCAAAAACAGATCCTCAGAAAATATGCAAATGAGATCACAACTCATGCAAATGAGTCCCTCATTAGCATATTTTTTGCTGAGAAAATTCGTAGTGTAGACGTAGTCCCACACAGATTCTTCGGCTGTGTCAGCAGCTCCCTTATTCTTTGTTGCATCTGCTGAATCTTGACAGAGCCACAAGCTGTACAGGGGCACTGGAACTGCCTGCCTGCAGATTCAGGTTCCCGTAGTTGCCCTGTTCACATATGGAAGCTTTTTTCACAATTATAAAAGCTAGAAACTGAAAAATAAAAGTAAAGGAGAGCACTGTTTCTGGAGCAGTTGATGGTATATGCCATGGATGAGCATTCATTCAGCATGGCTCTAGGTACTAATGAGAGTAGGATGTTGATCAGCCTAAGTATACACACATGAGCAGGAAGTATTGATCTGTGGTTAACTGGTGGTAAGCACTGGTTAATACAGCCAAAGTCTTAAATGAGTACAGTTATTTGAATGAAGGGGGGAATTACTAGAATAGTGTGCCACATGGTTACGTGGTATGGATTAATTGCTTCATCACTTGATGGTTTCAGTGCTTACATCTTCAGAAAAGTGAAAGTTATTCTTGGCTATCTCTTGTCTTGTTTCAGGAGGGCGTGGCCGATGTATTAAGCAAGGGGAAAACTGGTACAGCCCTACAGAATTTGAAGCCATGGCAGGAAGAGCCAGCAGCAAAGATTGGAAAAGAAGCATCCGCTATGCTGGGAGGCCACTACAGTGCCTTATTCATGTAAGAGCAAGCCTATGCTTGTCTTGAGAGAGAGGGCAGTGTGTCTGATCATGAACTGTCATTAACCGTGATTTGGTTTTGCAGAGAACCAAAGGGTAGAACCCCGGTCATGTTCCCACATTAAGTCAGCCCAAACATTTTGTTAAGCTCAAAAAGGGTTATAGCTTTATTCCAGTTAGATGATGCCATGGGATAAGTTCCAGCACTGAACTCCATGTGGGGAAATGGGAAGCCTTAAAGCGTCCCACCAGCATTACCTCCTTTTAATTCTATAATCTGTTTTACTGTTGTTTGTCTGGGAGCAAGATGTTCCTTTATTAGGTTACTCCAGATATTTTACATCTCAGTGTTAGAAGGGAGGCCCATTTTTGAGGTATTCTTTCTGTGGCATTACTATTAGGCAGTTGGCCAGAGATTCTTTATGCTTTTGTAAACACATTCACTTGCCCTTTGTCTTTGCTTTTGGAGTTGTTCTTCCCTCGGTATATTCCCCACTCTTCCCTTTGTTTCTGAAGAGTTCTATCCAGGGTCTTCAGGGACTGGACAGATTCTCAGGAGAGGCCTGAATCGTTTGCTATTGTATGTTCATGTCTTGAATAGTTTGTGATCTTTTAATGCTGTCCTGGTGTTTCTCAATTCCAGGATGGGATTTTAAATCCTCATGCTGCCTCATGCACTTGTGCTGCCTGCTGTGATGACATGACCTTGGTGAGTTGCAAGTTTATATTCACTAATTTGAAAACATTCCGGCTACGTCTACACTGGCCCCTCTTCCGTAAGGGGCATGTAAATTTCAGCAGTCGTCGTAGGGAAATCCGCGGGGGATTTAAATATCCCCCGCGGCATTTAAATAAAAATGTCCGCCGCTTTTTTCCGGCTTTTAAAAAAGCCGGAAAAGAGCGTCTAGACTGGCCCCGATCCTCCGGAAAAAGTGCCCTTTTCCGGAGGCTCTTATTCTTGGATCGGGGCCAGTCTAGACGCTCTTTTCCGGCTTTTTTAAAAGCCGGAAAAAAGCGGCGGACATTTTTATTTAAATGCCGCGGGGGATATTTAAATCCCCCGCGGATTTCCCTACGACGATAGGTGAAATTTACATGCCCCTTACGGAAAAGGGGCCAGTGTAGACGTAGCCTCCATGTTGGCGTCCGGGTTTTGTAACAGTCAGGCTTGTCACTTGGCCATTGGAGTGTAAGTCAGGAGTAACCTGAGATAGGAAGTGGCTAGGAGTGTTGTGTGCATTGTTCATGATTGGGGTAATGAACTGTCTGTTCAGAGTTGTTCCTTAGATAATAATAGTAAGGAGCTGAGTCCAGGTCCTTTTAGCTGGAGTGGATGTTTTGTGTGAAATGAATGAGCAACATAAGGGGGGTGGGAAGGCAGAAATTAAGTTGGTTAAAGTGGGTAGCTGGTTTGGGAGCATGCTCTTTGCTGAGACAGGCAATATCTTAGCCTTCAGTGTTGACCATCTCTAGCGCTGACCATGGAATGACACCGCCAACTGTACTGTAAAGGTTGAGAGCAAATACCTTAAATATTGTGCACTTTAATTATTCTCCGTGGCCTGGAGAGAAGCAGATACCTCTCCTGTAGTTTTAATTGGCTTTTTGACAAAATGCAGCAGCAGGCGAGCCCAGTGGTTGGTTATCTCTGTCTTCCCCAAGAAGAGCTGTTACATGTAAAACAGTGTGCTCCCAGCTATGTCTGGAGAGTTAGAGCAAACGAGAGCAAGACAAAAAAGGTCTAAGTCTTAATAAGAAAGTGCCTATAGAAACTGCTCATTTCTCTTTGTCTCAGAGTGGCCCTGTACGACTTTTTGTCCCTTATAAAAGGCGAAAAAAAGAAAACGAACTGCCTACAACTCCAGTGAAAAAGGATTCTCCCAAAAACATCACCCTGCTTCCTGCTACAGCTGCTACCACTTGTAAGTTCCCTTCTGGAATAGACCTGTTGGTTCTTTATTAGAGGAGCATTATCATGATAGATAAATCAGATTTTGTCTTTTTTTTTTAGTTTTCCAAATTAATGACATCCTAGGGAATCCAAATAGAAAGGTTTTCGTAAATGTTATTGATTGTTTAGCTTTGGCATGTTATTTTGATTAGACAGTAAAATGAGATTGGTCTGATTAATCAGTTTCATTTCTTGGCTCTCATGCCTGAGCATTGTGTTGCAGTAGTTGGGTTGTAGACTCAGTAGAAAAATGTTTAACACTGTTTCTAGGAAAATAATTTTTTTTAAAAAAAACCTTGAAAATCTTGTGTTTGCTAAAACTTGGGTTGCATTTTTTTCTTGCTGCACAAGAAACCTGAATTTCCCTCCCCATCCTAGTTTTTTGGTCCATTGGGCCATCAAAAACTTTGGAGTCCTCATCTTGTTCTGTAGGGATTTAGAAGTAGATTTTCCAGAACTAGGTTCCTAACACCCGTTGATTTGACTTTCAATAGGAGTTAAGCAGTTGTACTTTCAAAATTTACCCCTTTGTGTTCTGCAGGAGACCCAGATTCAATTCCCTATGCTGGCCTTTTGCTGTCCAAAAATCAGAATCTAAGCTGTTGGAATGGTCTCTGACCTGGAAGTTTTTAGTGAGAGCTGCTGTCTGGGCCATCTTCACCTTCAAATAGGTTTTTCAGAATATATTAAATTTAACTCTATACAGATACCATGTAATCTTTCTGTATTTTCTTTCCCACTGTTTTTGATTACCAGGATACTTGGGTGTGAAAACAAAGGTTCACTTTCTTAAAAAGTCTGCTCCTGTTTCCTGATACCTTCAGTGATGTTGCAGTTAAATTTCTTCCTGGTAGTTAAAGTCTCATTGCTGGATTGCAACATAACTGGATTGGTTGGGCAGGAAGGGACATATTTCCTGAAAGAGAATTTTTGTTAGCCAAGAAAAATATTTAACTGTCAAAAATAGTGCATGGCAATTAAATGGAAGTTTGGTTAAAATCAAACTGCTTTATTGTTCAGAGAAGAGGTCCAGAATTTGGGTTGACTTGGTCTCTTGCAGAATTCTGTCGATGTTAGTCTGATGATTAAAGCTTTGTGCTCCAGGGGTTCAGAATTTTTTGTTGTTGATCAGATTTGTTTTAAAAACACAATTGAACAAGTGGTTTTCTGTCTCTCTAACATGCTCAAATAAGCTTCTGAAATAAAGCTGAATCTGTTTGAACATTGCTAGGAGCAGCCCCCAGTCTTGTAACAGGTCCTTGTGATACTGAAAAATGCTTGCAGATACTCCAGCCTGGAGGTGAAAAGATCTATCTCAACATAAATAGGCATGGGGTGTGTTCAAGATGTGGTTCCTTACCTTTGGCTGATTAGGGGAGTTAAAAAAAATAGGTTATGTTTTAAGATCTTTCTAAGCACCCTAGTACACTGTCTTTGGAATTTTGGTATGGAAAGATTTTGTAACTTTAGCCTTGCACATAGTTCATTGTCTAAAAGTGGTGTCAGTCAGCTTTTAAGGGAAATAAGGTAATATTGGTCTAAAGAACCAAACCATAGTGGAAGTATAATACTCAGACCAGTAATAGCTACTCTTACTAACTTTTCCATAAATTAGAGATCTGCTTTGTTGGATTTCCTGGCCCCATTTCCTTATTTTCTGTGTTGCAACATTACACTCATTTCAAAGTATAATGTAATAGGAATAAAAATGTGTAAAACTGATCTGGACTCCCAACTTCAGAGATTAAAGTGAGGCATAACTTTGGGAAGCTGATGTGTACACAATGAATACAGAAGCCAAAATAAGATTTTTGTTTCCATTTTCCATTCTGTGGGATGGAGGTGTTATCCAAATATTGATAACACAGGTCAATTACTGATCTGTGAATTCTGTGACTTAGGATGATTCAGAACAGGGAGATCAACAGCTAAACAACCAAGGCTTCAGAGTTGAGCACTAATTATGAAAGTGCTTCTGCTATTTCCAGTCACCGTGACTCCTTCAGGACAGATCACTACTTCTGGTGCTCTGACCTTCGACCGTGCATCAACCGTGGAGGCCACAGCTATCATCTCAGAAAGTCCATCCCAGGGTGATGTATTCACTGGAGCCACTGGTGAGTCCCCAAAATATGTGTGCATTTTGCAGTAGTTATGTGTGTAGGGTTCTGAATTCCCATTGCAAAAGGGGGAAGGGTTTTGAAAACAGCTGTGAGTCTTTTCTTTAAGGGCTTAACCAAAGGTGTAGATCATTCATTCTCCTATACTCACAATAACACTATCAGCATGAAATCTTGTTAGTTTCATAAAATGAATTAAAAATATTTTTTACTGCACTTACCTTTGTGTCCTCCCTGATACTTTTTGTGTATTTTACAGACCCATCTTCCACTTCCCCCCCTTCCCCTTTTACTCTGAAAAAACAATCCACAAAAATGTAAAATTGTTTGTGCAATGAAATTGACTGGATGAAAAATGCTGTGACATCTCCAAAGTAAACTGAAAAAATAGCTGTATCCTCCCCCCCCCCCTCCCCCCACACACACACACACTCTCTTAATGCTAATTCAAATAAGGCCTGCACATTGGAATGTAAAACAATCAAGTGAACTAATAGCTCATCTGGCAATTCAAATAGTTCTGGCAGAAGGAACAAATATCAGTTTTAAAAACATACCTAACAACAGCATAGTGTCACTGCTTTAGAGTTTGGGTGAAATCAAGTACAGGTTACATGTATCCTATAATTTTTTTAAATTTCTTCTTTCTGTGTGTTTTTGTAAAACCTGTGGGTTTTCTTTGCCGCCTTCTATGACATGGGATGTGGGTCACTGTCAGTATTATCTGAATATACTTTACTTAATAATGTCCCTGCCATTGCAAAGGTCTTAAGCACTGGTACAGCTTGGTCCCTCCTGTTTTCTGTGTATGGCACATAATAGTCTAGTCTTCTATAATAGTTTTAGTCTCATTTTGATTGTTGGGTTTGGTGTGCACGTGCTTCTGTGTAGGTGGCCTGTGTTACACAGGATGTCAAGCTGAGTGATCTGGTGATGACTTCTGTGCCTCAAACCTGTACACAACTACCAGCCTGCAAATCACATGCAAAAGATTACAATCTGAAATAGGGATGTAAGAGTTTAATCAGTTAACTGATAAGCCAGTGTTCTCATGAGGCCAGGAGCAACTGCAGCTCTGCAGTATAATCGGTATAATTTTTATTGGTTACACAGTTACTATTTTTATAAATTGTTTACATCCCTGGTCTGAAAGCAAGTTCAGTGGAACTAAAGTGTTATTTGCATTAACCTTGCAATATGTAGAATAGTGGCACTAAAATTAAGTTACCATACTATGGGCAAAAGTTCCGACAGGTCCTAAAGTCTTGCGTGTCCACGTTTTGCGCAAACAATTTTGTGTGGCTAAGTTTTGTGGGTGCAAAACTGGTATGGGATGCTTACTTTAAGATATAGCGGCATGGTGATTGAACATGGTGAGATAATGTTTGGGGAACAGTGTGGTATGATAAGGAGGACACTGGAATGGGGTGCACAAGACCTTTGTGCTATTCCTGGCTCTCCTGCTGAGACACCTTGGCAAGTCATTTCACTGCTTGGTGCCTCAGTTTCCCCATCTGTAAAATGGGGATAATGACACTAACCTCCTTTTGTAGAGTGCTCTGAGATCTAATGATGACGAGTGCTAGATGAGAACTTCTAATAGTTAAAGCATATTGAAAGTGAAAAATGAGGCTGTATATTGTTGCAGGATAGTTGACTGGTTGCTCCCCTCCCCCCCGCTGCCTCTATCAGATGGAGGGGAGAAAGGGGAAGTACTTCAAAGCGGTAGCGCAGCATGGAGTCCAGGATCAGCTGTGCGGTGCTGCCCCTTTGAAATGCCATGGTGGCGTTTAAAAAAATGCATCGATTATTCGATTCGTGAATTTACACGATACTTAACATCCCTAATTCAGAACATTGCAATTTAACCTGTGTTTTCTTACCAGTAGTTATTCTTGGCCCAGTGTCTAGAACACAGAATTGGCAGCCAGGATACCTAGATTCCAATGTCAGCCCCGCCTTTGATTCACTGAGCAAACCCTGAACATCTGTTGCTGTGCCATCTTTGAGCCGCACAAAATCTTCATTAAGCATTTTGGAAACTTTGGATGATCTTGACAATATAGAAGCCAGTGTGGAGGGGTGTGGCAACCTTGAAAAGTGAAAGAGGAGACTCACATGGACTAACAGCGGTCAGAGTTTGGTAGCAATGTCAAATCACACCTCTGTTTAAAGAAGCATTCATAATCCTTACAATTGCTATAGCTTTTGGAAATCCACATCAATTTAAGAACAAAAAAGAAAAAGTCAAAGCAACGTATAACAAATACTCCTTTTTCCAATAGTACAAGACACTACTGTCCAGCAGCCTTGCCGTGTCAGTCATCCGGAACCTCACTATCCTAGTTACCAGGACAATTGTCAGATTTCACCTTTTCCAGAGGCTGCACTGCCAACATCCCATCCCAAAATAGGTGAGTTTTGTCTCTCTCTAAAATAAGCCGCAGTTTATAATAGCCGAGTTGGCTAATGATTGTACAAAGTAAATTTACTCGTATGCTCCTTAGCTGGACTGGGTTAAGAGTGGGAGAGGGTAGAAATCTGTTCTTCCTTGATGCCTTATAAACCATTTTTGTTGGTTTGTATCACACAGGGTTACAGTAAAATCGCATTTCCTAAGTTAGATAGAGGTTTCCTTTAACACCTTTTCATGAGCTATGTTTTGATGTTGTCACCCGGCTTTGACTGATTTTGACTAATAAAGTCCTGTATTTGAGGTATCCTCTCTGTCTCCAAATACAAATTCACATGCAGCTGACTCTAAAATTTCCATTCCTTTCTGTGGGTCAGCAAGTTTTCATTCTCCTTTTTAGGATGGTTGGGGTTTATTATACAGGTACAGTCTTGTGATTCTATGTCCCTAAATCAATTCCTCATCCATTGACATGAGTCATCCTTTGGGGATAATATTTGTGGTTTAGGAATTTTCACCACAGTTTAGAGATCTATCCCGCTGTGGGACAACGAGCTGAAGAAGGCAAATCATGTTATGTTGAGAAGATGAAAATAAAGATTCCAGATTAATTCATGCATTTAGTGACGTAAAGTTGAGGATAAGGTAGTTTGCTTTTGTGTTTATTTTGCTGTATGATTTTTTGTAGGATTAATAAATCTCAGAAATCTTAATGAAAAATGTATTAGTTGTGTGCAATTTTGCCAAAGTTATGTGAATGTACTTCCTGGTATGGAAAAAGAGGTAGCCTTTTTTGGTATCTTACTGTACATTAAGGATGTTAAAATGGTTTCCATCAACTATTCGATAGGCACTTCCACATTCCTCCTTTGAAATGTATAAGAGTCCCACTGAGTCCGGGCAGCACACGTTGTGCCCACTTTGAAATGCACAAGAGTCCCCAGTGGGAGCTCTTGTGTATTTCAAAGCCATGGAGCCCGGGGTCAGCGGGTGATTCAGAGTCCCCCGCTGACCCCGGGCTCCAGGCGTTCTGGGGAAATGCCGTGGGGAGCCCGGGGTCAGCTGGGAGTCCTCGGATCAGCTGTGCAGTGACCACTTTGAAGTACTGCTTCCCCCCCCCCATCCCCTTTGCTGCCTTTATCTTATAGAGGCAGCAAATGGGTAGTGGGATATCAACCAGTTGACTAGTATACTAGTCTTTAACATCCCTACTCTGTATTGTGGGAGTTTTGGGGAGGAGTAGTGGAGTTATGCCACAGATGCTACAAAGTTCCTTCCACAGGACATCTGCTTTGTCTCACCTGGAAGAGTTCAAAAATAGTTTTGTAAAAGCTTATTGTGCTGCTTTTTACATTGTACTGGTTTCCTTAACTGGCCTTGAAAGTTGTAGCATGGACAGAACATTAGAATCAAACTTTAAAAGATAGCACAGTAGATTTTTTTCCTTCAAAAAAGTGCACACCTAAACCTGGGTTTTCCAGGTACCTGCTCTGCCTCTTCTGGAAATCTAACCTTTAATGTCAGAGACAGACAACCAATAGACACCTGAAGAAGAACTCTGTGTAAACTCAAAAGCTTGTCCTTGTCACAAGGCATAAAGTCTAGGGAGGGAGCCACACCCAATCCTGCTCCACCCCAAACTCTGTTCCATCCCTTGACCCACCCTTGGCTCCTAGCCAAGGCTCTGTATCCTGCTGTGGTTCCAGCACCTGTCCGAGACCCCAACTGCAGCTGTAGACCCCTTACCCTATCCATGTCCTCCTACTTCGCCCTCAACTTAGGAGCTGCAGGGCACAGACTGGGATAGGGGGAGCACAATCCTGAAAAGTTTGGGGGCCACTGTTTTAAAATGAAGCTGGCTAACAAGCATACAGTGAGCAAGTACTTTGCTCTGGCTGGTTGTTGGATTAGATGACCTAATGGACCTAATTTCTGATTCTATGAAGCCATCAAGATGAGCCAAATGGATGTGTATTCATGTGATATCTAATTAAATGCTTTGGTTATTGACATCAGGAGCTGAAGGTGAACAGTTTTTAAGACCTTTTATTAATTATCTTGTTAGAATAAAGGGATATGCGAATACAGAAATGAGCCAAGCAGCTTGTAAACCAGAAGTAAAAACTAATTTCCTCTTCTCTTTTTAACCCTCATCAGGCTTTTCTATATTTTAGTGCTTTGATCAGATAATCTGAAATCCAAGTTACAAAGCAAAGATTTGATAACATAATTACCAGGCAACTCATTCTTCAATATTTGCCTTCTGTTTTGACAGAAGTTGGGCTTTGGCACAGTCTGATGGTTGAGATATTTCAGGACAGGAAGCATGTCTTCAAAGCCTTTATTCACGTGTTTTGGAGTTGGGGCCTGTAATACAAGATGTTACAATAACAATATTTTTAAAGCAAGGTTAGGCCACTACTGGTCAATTTGTAGACATGTGAGAACTTTTGTTAACTGCACAGATTTTGCAGCTAGGTGGCTCACTTGTGTGCAGTGTAGGGTACCTTTTTAATATGCCGAACCCTGGGGTTCTGCAGAGCACAACGAGGGGTTCCGCGAGGAGCCGGCGCTCCCCCACCCCCTCTGAAAAAGAGAGAGAGAGCCGGCTAGCCAGCATGGAGCTGGTCCCGACCCCGCGCGCGCGTCCTCCTAGCCCGGCCCCAGAGCGTCTCTTCCCCGGACCTGTCCCTGCTGTGTGCGACCTTCCCTGAAGGTAAGCGCCGGCCCCGGGAGCGCTGCAGATTGGCCGCCCGCGCTCTGTGTGGGGGGCGCTGGCCCCGGGCTCGTGGCACTTGGGGGGGGCCCACCCCCGGGCGCACAAGTGTCCCCGCCCTCTGGCGCCCAGTGGGCGAACGGCTACACCCCCTGGCGCTCGGCAACCTCCAATGGTTGGGGACCACTGCACCAAAGGGTCAGGGGTGGAAGAGAGACAATTGCCAGGGGGCCAAGCACAGACAATGAGGAAAAGGGCAGGAGGGGAGAGGAGGTGTCAGTGGGAGGGGGACAGGGTGATGCTGGGAGGGGAGAGGGTAAGAGCATTGGGGGCTAGAGGGGTGAGGGGAGGTGCTGGGAGAAGGCTTGAAAGAAGGGGTGGGCATGAGGAAGGCTGGGTTGGAGCAAGTCATGTGAGAGGGCAGAGGGGCATGAGGGGAATGGGGGCAGAGGGTGGTGAGGGGTAGGCATCAGGGAAAAATGGAGCAAAGGGGGCAGGGGAAGTGAGGGAAGGGGGAGGCACCAGGAGGGTGCAGAGGTAAGAGAAGGTGCAGGTGCCAGGGGATTCTGGGTGGGAGGGACCACCATCAGAGGAGCGACGCAGAGCAGGTTTGTAGAGGGAGGTGTTAGGGAAGGTGGGAGAGGGGGGAGGCACCAGGAGGGTGCAGCGGTAAGGGAAGGTGCAGGTGCCAGGGGATTCTGGGTGGGAGGGACCACCATCAGAGGAGCGACGCAGAGCAGGTTTGTAGAGGGAGGCGTTAGAAGAGGGGATGAGGAGGGGCAGCTCACACGATCAGAGTGGGGCTATTGGAGGAGTGGGCACAGGGGGACGCCTTTTTTCTATTCTCCAAAGGGGGGCCCCATAAAATTATGCTGCCCTAGGCCCCTCAAAACTCTCATCCGCCCCAGGGATCCCCAAAGCCACGCGCTCGCCCCCCGGAGAGGAGCATCCTGCCTTCCGGTTGCTAAATGCAACGTCACTTTCCGCTGCCCTGGCCGGTGTTGGGAGCCAGGTTGAGGGGACCTGTGGCCAGACACAAACGGCAGTCAGGGCATTTCCCAGGGATTGTGATTTTATTTGTAAATTACAGAGTTTTAGCATGCAAGTCAGATCATACATATCTATTGCAATTCACACTTCATAAATAAAAGAGCTGGGGAAATGAAAATTTCTTTTAGCCTTTCTGGCAAAGTGGCTCTGAATACCATGCAGCTATTTGCTGAACATAAATTAAGAAAATTAATGGATAAAGTGCTGATAACTTCTGCTGAAAACATGCTGTGGTAAAAGACCAACATTTGTTTCACAATCTAACAAAAGCAACAATGCTTAATTAAAAAAAGAGCTTGAAAATCAAGTTAATTTTGATTGATAGCTCCAGGGTCTGTAGCTCAGCCATATTTGGCCTTCTGTGGTGTGAACTTCAAATAGAGCTTCTGTAATAAACTAAGCCATCCCTTGGCTACTGTGTGGGCAGGAGGGGGTTTACCTAGGGAAGTAGTAGAGTCTCCATCCCTAGAGGTGTTTAAGTCGCGGCTTGACAAAGCCCTGGCTGGGTTGATTTAGTTGGGATTGGTCCTGCCCTGGCCAGGGGGCTGAATTTGATGACTCCAGGGCTGTGTCTAGACTGCATCCCTTTTCCGTAAAAGGGATGCAAATTAGACACATCGCAATTGCAAATGAA